CACACTCAAACCATCTGGGAGAATTCTCCCAGGTGTGCTCTCATGGTAGAGGAACTTACCCAGAGCCACATGTACAGACATTCAAATACCGAGGCCCTGAAGAGTGGGGAGCTTGCAGTGCTGATTGGGGGCATGGAGGGGGGCAGCAGAAAAGCTGTGCACACATCGCTTTTTGCTCTACAGCAGGGGTAGGAAAAATGGTGGATCCGTCTGGCAGCTGGACTCCATTTCCCAGCAGCGCCTGCCCGCATACCTTGAAATTATAACAAATGTTATTAGGGGTGCACTGATAAAGATTTTCTTGGCTGATACTGATAACCAGTGATTCACCAACCATGTCGGCCGATGCTGATCCAATAACCAATCTTTAGTAATAGTGCAGGGCATTTTAAACTACTACATGAACCTTTTGTTGTTGTTTTTGCATTTGTAATGCATGTGCCTCCTGTTGCCGTCTAGGAGGAAGATGGTGACCACCTTATTCCCACACGTTGCCCCCTCACCCATGGCTCCTACCTGCAGTCCCGCTCCCCATGCAATCCATGCTGCTGTCTTGGATGGGTGGGGCAGACCCTCATGCAGACAGTGGTGCCGGGCATGTTTGGAGCCTCAGTGCTGGCAGGCTCTACACAGCTGAGCTCCTGTGGCTGCTGGGGAGAATCTGCTTTTGCAAAGGTGCCTGGTGCCCAGGGAGTGGAATGTCCCTTGCATGGCACTTTACCGTACCTGTGTGCAGTCCAGTGTCTCAGTGGCAACCCCAGTGCCCAGGTCCCTGCCATGCATGCGACATTACCATGGCATTGGCAGAAACAGCAGCAGCAGGATCTGGTAGTGGTCCCTTGGTTGTTAAGTGCGGTTCCCTGTGACCACTTCTCAACACGGGTTTGGGCCAGTGGTGGGGCATGGGGACCGGACTATGCTTACCAGGGTGCTCTGGGCATGGGCCATAATTATCAGTTACAGTGACCCAAAAAAGCTGATAGCAGATAACATCATTTCTCATTTTATCAGTGCCGATCCAACAGCCAACCAATATGTTGGTGCACCCCTAAAATTTATAAATTTTCCACATATAAAATCTAATTACTGGGGAGGTTGTCTAGTAATCAGGATTGTCTTATATTTGAGTAAATACAACACTTCTATCTGCTCCTCTGGGTAAACATGTTTCACTGAGGTCAGGTTCCAGCAATCCAGCATAGTCCCGAACTTCAGGAGGACTCCAAATAAATGTTGTGTTTCATTTGCCCCGATCCCCCTGTAAATAAGCATTGTAAACTGGAGCTGTTTACAGATAGAAGACATGAGCTCCTCCTCTAAAGTACTTGAAACATCTTTGGTGTTTTTAATACAGAAAATATGTAATACTATTATGCTTTATAACGGTCCCTAGGTAGCCTTAATTCACATTATTTTCTCTGTATGCATGTGAGAACTATACAAGAGCAGGTATGAGAGACAAATTTTAAGCAAATCTTATATGACACTTTCTAAAGGCAGGTGTGGACTTTCTTTTTAGCCCAAACCCTGTCTGAAGAAGGAATCACACATTTGTAGCACACGCTACTAAGATGTGTCATTTGATTAAAACCCCTCACTATCATAAAATGTTTTGTTCTGTGAAGAATCTCACAAGTCTGAGTGTGTCTCATTTGATGACAAGCACCTTTTGTTCTTATTTTTGCAGTTCCTAAAGCACAATATGTTAAATTAAACATTCTTTTGATAATTCACATGGAGTGGGAACATTTTATACCCCACAATCAAGCCAAACTTCTGCTAGAGCCAATTTTAAAAAATATTTTCTGGTGTGCACAAAACCAAGTAAGATTATTCTTGCAAATGGAAACCAGAAAGTGTTTTAGAGCTATTGAAATATGGGTACACTAAACATCTCTCTTTTCCATCATACAGACAAAGTAATAAATCAAAACAGGAATCATGTTAATAAATGAGGATGTGATATTTACTGGGAGTTTCATCTATATCTGAGCAGAAAGGTGGTTGGAATGGAGGGCCTTCCAAAAAGTGTGGGAGAGAAGGAGAATTTTGGTACTTGTTATTTTGTATTTCATTCAACTGTAAATTTGTTAGAGTGGGAACTACATTTGTACACAGCCTAGTATAATTAATTTCTGCTCCCTGACTAAGGCTTGTAGGAGCCAAGAGAATACAAACAGCATAAGACTGGGCATTTTTACACATGTAAGCACCGTAGCGCTGACCACAAAAGCGGTCAGCGCTGCATTGCTTGTAGTTGTATAAATGGTAAAATGCTGCTGAGAAAATGGCAGAAATGCACTTTTGGACTAAAATGCATAGAAAGTGCTTTAGTTCAAAAGCACACCACTACCATTTTCTGCACACAGATGCGCATTTCACCACTTATACAACTGCATGCAATGCAGCACGGTGCGCATCCACTTGCATGTGGAACAGACTCAATTAATCAAGTCTGCTCTGAAGTGGCGGTTCTCCAGCTTATCACGGGATGAAAAGGTATGTGTATAAATGCCCACTGTGTAGATCTGCCCAACAAAAAGCTTAAGCATAACTTACTTAATATGCATAATTAAAAACTTCTTGTTTGAAAGGAGGATCTTCTAAATGCAAATTTAGCTGTTGGATGTGGAGTTTGGAGGAGAGGGAAGGATCAGTTGATTATATTTATATGGCAAACTTCAGCAAGCAAAAATGAAACTTCTTTGATTCCTCAGATCTTTACTGCAGATGGATGTCCCTCTCCCCCTCAACATATTTTATGGTAGAAGCACATTAGTTAAAAATTCTTTTCAGCTTTTTGCCAGGAGGAAAAAAATGGAGCAGACACAAGAGAGAGAGGGGAAAATGCAATTGTGATGTAAAATTGGTTATGGCAAAAAATGCTGCTATGATAAATAACAGTGGAAGGACTGAGCTCAATTCCCACAATATTCTGCTTAAAGTTTACCTTGTGGAGCCAATTTCCTACCTTGGAACTCGTATAGCAAGGTGTGAAACGTGTTCATACTCTTCTACATGTCATTTTAAGCTTGAGACGGGTATAGGAGTGCAAAAAAAGCCCTTTAACTTTTTCTTTTTTATATGTAGGCTGAAAGTGGTCTTGTGATACTCAGTACAGCAATAAAAATAGTTTCTTGTGGTCCAGACAACAGTAACTAAATTTCAGCATCTCTGGCATGTAATCAAAAGTTGTAGTCCTGTAACAGGCTCACTTCTAGTTGCTGCTTTTAGCAAGTCTTAATAAGCATCTATTTGTAAAAATCCATCATCTTTTGTAATTATTGTTCATTTTTTAACCTTTTCTACATTCAGCTTTAGTGGCAAGCAATGGAATTAGGTTTGTCAGTTTGACCAGCTGTAGCTGGGCTTTTAGCATTATGTGGAGAGTTAATAAAATACATGTGAAAATATTAAATCCATGAAAAGCTTTGAATTTCATATTGGATTTTGCTCAGAACTCAGTATGTAACAGTAAATTAATTTAGGTCACTGCTAATAGCTTTTTCTTTAAATTAACTCACTTAATAGTCTCTTTGACTTGTGAGGAATTTAAATATCTAGTGCCTAAGAGATTTGACCTTGTGAGTTACTAATATTGTTTCAGTTGCACTCATGTGTTGGGAATATGGTTTGAATGATTTAAGTGGCTTCATCAAAAAGTGGCAGACAAAAAAAAAAAACTAGGGGATTATGGAAACCCAGAGCTTCTGTGTAATCCAGGGCTTGAGTAACATGTAATATCTAAAAAAACCCCCAAACACTGTAGCAATTATTGGCAGTCATAGAAAATTCTAACTCTACATGACACATACAAATGGCAGACCTCTATCTGCAAAATGTACAAATTAGATCTAATTAGAGCCTTACCTTAGTTATCTCTGCTAGGACACTGAGAGATTTTGAGATGGTATTCCTATACTATATCTGTCCTAACCCATGTACAGTTCTAGAGTTTTGGTTTAGATACCTGAGTCAGTCCATGTAGAAAGCAACTTTGAGGGCTAATTTTACCTGAGTAAAATGTGTTTGAAAATAATGAACACAAAAAGATAAGAATGGAATTAAACTTAAATTCGTAATGAATTAAGCAAACACAATGCACTTGCTCTTGAACAAGTTAACGCTGTTCCTTCAAGTGTAAGCAGGATGCCAGCAGACCTCTGGGGAATCAGTTCTGGTTATCTTCCGAAGCTGTGTAGGGCTGCTGGTCTCACTGATGGGAACTGATAATCCTGAGAGCTTTGGATATAATGGGGGCTCTGTGAAGGGCTGGGGTGTCCTTGCATGTTGCTCTAGAGCTGGCTCTCTGAATCCAGAAACTCCACTGTTTGGTAAAACATGGGAATGTTGGTTTCACTAAGCAGCAGCAGAGCCCAGGCTGATTTATGGTATTGAAAATATTTATAATAGCGTATTTCAAGGGTTTGTAAAAGTAGTCATAGAAATATACAAGGCTTTGGAGGCCAACTGGCTAAAAGGCTGTTCATCACAGAGTATATACTGGTCATGGGGAAGTACATAGGATGGCAAGGATACATTGGCAAATGAGCATAAAGCTTGGGGTGTCTTACCTGTGTGCTTTCATAGTGAATTATGACATTTAGGCAGTGAATCGGACATCAGATTACTTGCTGCTTTCATCTTGACATTTAAATCCCACAATGTTGCTTATTTAGATTTTCTTTTCCCCACACTTAGTATAATGTCCTGTAAGTGGGATGTGCACTTCAGAAGAAACCACTTGAACAAAATAAAACTTGTAATCAAAATATAGAAGTGTGGCAGGTGGATGTCATTTGCTATGTATTCATAATCTCAAAAAACATTCAGAACTTTTAAAATAAGTCGGCCGCATCAACACTATGCTTTTATTTAAACAGGTATGGACATGCATCAGATTTTGTTGTTTCAAAGATTTTTGACCTATTTGGGTTTAAATTATGTTAGATTATTTCTATCCATACACTGGAATTCTTAATATCATTTTTATTTTCCAGCTCCCTGCAAATGTTCGTTAATAGCCCAGCGATCAGAACTGTATACATCAATGCAAAACTACCAGCAAGCTCTCCATGATGCAGATGTAGTCTGCCAAAACAAACCTCTCTGGCCAAAGGTACAACCCTTGCATGCTGCATAGAACAAAAGTAATGCTTCTTATCAAACTTCAGGGTTTTTTCATGTGGTAAGGCCAGAGCTTTGCAAACTAGTTTATGGAAGGAGATTTTGATAACCCTCTGGGGTAGAAACTTCTAATAAAAGCTTCAATTATGCCTAAAACAAGCATGGATGAATCCTATATCTGTACTAATGCATAAAAATGTCTGTGGCGTTTATTGTTATTGGCCTTCTTTTGTGCTAATGTCTATGGTTCTGTTTTAAAAAAAAAAAAAAAAAAAAAAAGTTCTAGGGGCAAAACCAGGCCTGTTCAGCTACTGATATCGGGGGATATCCTACTTGTGGAAGTTTCCTCTGACTCCTACAGTATTTCAGCCAGCCTTCCCTGCTGCAGAGCTTCTGAGAATTCCAAACTTCATTTTAAATTTGTATATTAGCAATGTCGTTTGATGATGCAGTCATCT